AAAAAAAGAAAAGAAATGAAGTATTAATACATCGACAACATGGATGAACACTAAAAATATGCTCAATCAAAGAAGCCACACAAAATGCTATACAGTCTATGATTCCATTCACATGAAATATCCATAAGACAAAGAAATTCGATTAGCTGTTGCCAGGGACTAGGGAGTTACTCCTCATTTCTGTTTGGGGTAATAAAGATAGCTTTTGGAAATTGAGGTGATGGGGGCCCAAGTGTGAATGCACTAAACGCCAATGAACTGAATACTTTACAATGGTTAAAATGGTAGATTCCGTTATATGTATTTCACAATAAAAAGTAATTAACACACATAATTTTGAGAAAAAAAATTTAAACACAAAGAGTAAATAATCTACAAAATTATAAACAACCCTTTCAAGTGTAACAAAGCAATTTTATTTTCATTGTTCATGGCCCTTTTCCTATTATATGTGGTATCAGATTCTGTGAGGCAATGTTGTTAGGGCCACACCTGGCCCTGCTATCTGGGGAAAAGGTCATACCTACCTCCAATGACTCGGATAGTATTGTCTTTTGTCAGAATCGCCTCAGCATGGAACACCAAAACTGGGATTCTCCTGCAGCCTCCTGTCCACATGATACATGGATGATCCCTACAAAAAGGGAGGGGGGAAAAAAGCCTGATTGACAGCTCAAAATTGGAATTATCATATTTTCAACATATAAAGCACACACACAAATAACATACACATGTGTACAGCACACATGCTGCTGGTAAGGGAGGAAGTCAGCAGGGCCTGACTGGAGGATAGAGAGAAACGAGATCCTGGCTGACAAACATTGAGATCTAGAGCAAGTCTTGCCTAAAGAATGTTGTTTGGTGTTGCTCAGTGTCGTCAAGTCAGTCCCAGCTCATAGTGACCCTGGTATAGGGTTTCTGAGGAGTGGCTGGTGGGTTTGAACCACTAACCTGTGATTAGCAGTCCAGTGCTTAATTCCCCTCACTATTTGGGACAATCTGAGTTATGTTTTGGTCCCTTGCATCATAAGGAATCCTAAAAATATTCACAACAATTTATAGAAACCCTTTAGGATCTATAGGAATTGATGTGTTATAATTAATCACATAAGCAAAGAACAGTGAATATACCGTGGACTTCCAGAACGTATCTGTCTTGGAGGAAGTGCAGCCATAATGCTCCTTAGATGAGAGACTAGTGAGACTTCATCTCATTTACTTTGGACACAATATCAGGAGTGAGGAATCTTAGGAGAAGGACGCATGCTTAGTAAAGCTGAATTCTGGCAGAAAAGCAGAAGGCACTCCATGGAATGGATAGACAGGGTGGTTGCAACCACGGGATCAAACATGGTGAGTTTGACATAGGAGTGGGCACCGCTTCATTCTGTCATACACAGAGTGGCTATGAATCGGAGCTAATACAGTATAGGCCCTCTTCAAGTCAATTTGATGACCCATTCTAAAATTCTGAGCCAGGAACCCTAAACTAATACAGGGAATCTACTAAACCTACTTAGTTTAAAGAAAGCCTACACTAAACGGTCTGCGAGGACGTGGGGAGGACCCAGGACTCGGCAGTTTCATTCTGTTGTGCATAGATAGGGTCGCTATGAGTCGGAACTGACTCAGTGGCACCTAACAACATACGAAATTTTTCCCCCAGTAAAAAAAACCATAAAACAGAAAGAACTTGTGATTTTATTCTCTGCCCTCATCCTCAGGAAACCTCAGTTTAATAAGACAGATGGACACAAGGTGGCTTCAAAAAGTTCGTGGAAAATGGAATTAAAAGATAAGGGAATTTCCCCCATGACCTTCTGTTGTTGTTGTTGTTAAGTGCTGCTGAGTCAGTGCTGACTCATAGCGACCCCATGTATGGTTTCCGAGGAGTGGCTGGTAGAGTTTAACCACCAACCTTGAGGTCCACACAGACCTTTCAGTCCAATACATTATCCTGCAGCACAACACCAGGATTCCACAAACTTTGGAACACCCTATTTACTCAGGTTGGGGATGTGCATACCTTCAACCACCTTAGGGCGTTGAGATAGGAAGGGAAAGAAGACGTCATGAATTGAGGCCCTAATATAAGCCAACAATTAACCAAGAGCCTTCACTCCACATATCATCTCCTTAATCCTGTAGACACTACAAACTGAAGGCATCAGAGAAATAACTAACTCAAGGTCACACAGCTGGTTAAGTAAAGGAAGCAGGACTTGACCCTCAGTGCCTGTGTGCTTCCTACACTTTGCTTTCCTGATCACATTTCTGTGATAATCTGTATACAGAAGACCTTGAACACAACCCCTCTGAAACGCAACTAATCAAACCCCTTAGATGGAATAAGACCTACTTAGCCAGGATTTACATTGCTCTGACAAACTCATTTGGCCACACCCCTACCACAATGTTAGGCCAAGTCAGACTCTCCCACCCCAAGATACAAATGATCTACCAATCTTAGAAGTAAGGCAGTATTCAGACTTACTGGCAACTGCCAACAGCCTTTTAGTGAAAAAAGCAATGTGGGCACCATTCCGAGTTCATTTCGTGTTTTCTAAAAATGAATGCTTATTACTCTTGCTCTTTGACTTTAGTGCCCATTTGTGAGAAACGGGGTTTATAAGGTACATTTTTTAGCACCATGTTTTTGTGGTTTACGTGTCTGTTTGCTTTTTAATCTTAAACACCTGTAAAATGTGGGCCTCGGCCCAGATGATTCCTATCATCTCATCCAGCTTTAATTTTTCCTCTCTATTTCTAAGTCAGAGAATAGAGAAAAGCAAGCAGCCAAAACTACAGTCTTGGATGGAAACCTCGGAAACGATCCAGTTCCTTGTGAATCCAGCACTGGCTACAAACTGGCACCACTGTGCCATAACAACACTTACAAACAATGGATTGCTGCTACTACAAGTTAGAAATGCCTGAGCAGACCACACAGGCACACAATGAACAGATACACACTGAGAACAGCCAAGGCTCTTAGTATCTGAAGTCAAATCCCTGACGGAGATATCTTTTCACTACAACCTACGAAAAGTTAAGTTGTGGTTGCTGGGTGTTGTTGAATCACTCCAACTCAGAGAAACCTCACACAACCCACTGGCTTAGCCAGGGTGGAATGTTTCCAGGAGCACATCTCTAGAGCTTTGTCCCACAGAGCCTCTGGGAAGGTTCCAGCTGCCAATCTTTCAATCAGCATCCCAACACTTACCCACTGCCCCACAAGGGCTCCTTAGGAAAAGGTAAGAGGGGAACAAATAATTAATTCAACTTTGTAGAGTGTCATCGAATCTGTTCCACCTCATAGCAACTCTATATAGGATTTCAGAGGAGTGGCTGGTAGGTTTGAACCGGTGGCCTTGCGATTAGCAATCCAATGCTTATCCTATAGTGCCATAATACAATAAAGTCAACTAAAAAAAGGTGTTTAAAAAAAAAGTTAAGGCAGGAGCTAACTTGTCATTATAAGCAAGTTCCCACAAGGTGGTGCTAAAGGGAAAAGATTTGACAGAAAGTTAAAATTGGGACTTTAAATTGTTATTCACGCTAGAAGCTGGTATAAATTAAGAAAATTCTACAATTTTAGGCATGCAAGAACAAAGAGTTTAGGTGGTTAATGACAGTAATTGATTGCATACAATTAAAACCAGCTGTATATTAAACTTCACTGAAAACCTAAGACTACTTCAACATTTAAGAGCACTCCTGTGCTCCAGCCTACAGAACTCAAGGACAGAGCTACAAAGCAGCGGCCTCTGCATTCCTGCTTCTGTGTGTCTATTTGCACCATTTCCTGTTGTAACTGCATTGCTCACTTCCCTCTGGTTTTAAATCCTATCCAACAAGGATCAGTTCTAGCCTCACCACCAACCTGGGCCCTTCCCAGAGTCTGTGGCCCACAGTGATTCCTTCTTACTCTGACCTACTGTAGAACTCATTGTAAAATCATCTGTCCGTGATCTTTTAAACTGACATTTATGATAAAGACTAACATTAACGATTTTTTTCAGTGACTAAAGAAAGCCTGTATCAAATTTTTACATGAAAGTTTCGACATCTACATATTAATCTGTACTTGGGAACCATAAGCAAAATATACAAAAATGGTTCCTTTGCCTTTATTTCTTGACATAATGCCAAGGAAAATGGGGATTGCACAGTTTCTAGCCCTAAAGTCCAGGACTGCAAAGCATTAATACTTTAATGCAGCCTAGTTGAGCAGAGACTACCAGAAAGCAGAGAGTATCAGAAAGGAGCTCTGGTAACATAGTGGTTATGGATCGGGCTATGAACCGTAAGGTCAGCAGTTCGAAACTACCAGCTGTTCCACGGGAGAAAGATGAGGCTTTCTGCTCCCGTAAAGATTTACAGCCTCGGAAACCCTGTACAGGTAACAGGGTCGCTATGAGTCGGAACCAACTCCACGGCATATAACCACCACCACCAGAGAGTATCAGAAAGATGTTTACCTGTGCTCTTTTGACTATGCAAAGGTTTTTAACTGTGTAAATCATGACAAACTACAGATGACACTGCAAATAATGGGTATTCCAGAACACTTAACTGTGCTCATGAGGCACATGTACATAAACCAAGAGGCAGTTGTTAGAACAGACCAAGGGCATACTGAACGGTTTAAAATCAGGAAAGATGTGTGTCAGGGTTGCATCCTTTCACCATTCTTACTCAATCCATATGCTAAGCAAATAATCCAAGAAGCTGGATTATATGAAGAATGTGGCATCAGGATTTCAGGATTAGAGGAAGACTCATTAACAACCTATGATATGATACAACCTTGCTTACTAGAAGTGAAGAGGACTTAAAATACTTACTAATGAAGATCTAACACTACAGCCTTCAGTATGGATTGTACCTCAATGTAAAGAAAACAAAATCCTCATCACTGGACCAATAAATAAAATCATGATAAAGAGAGAAAACATTGAAGTTGTCCAAGACTTCATTTTGCTCGGATCAACCATCAACACTCACAGAAGCAGCAGTCAAGAAATCAAACAATGTACTGCATTAGGCAAATCTGGTGCACAAGACCTCTTTAAAATGTTGAAGACCAAAGATATCACTTTGAGGACTAAGGCACGCCTGACCCAAACTATGGTATTTTCAATCATTTCATATGCATGTGCAAGTTGGACGATAAATAAGGAAGACCGTAGAAGAATCGATGCATTTGAATTATGGTGCTGAAGAAGAATACACAAAGTACCATGGACTGCCAGAAGGACAAACATACTGTGTTGGAAGAAGTACAGCCAGAATGCTTCTCAGAAACCAGAATAGCAAGGCTTCATCTCTCATACTTTGGACATGTTATGAGAAGGACATCATGCTTAGTATAGTAGTAGGTCAGCGAAAAACAGGAAGACCCCCCAACAAGATGGACTGACACAGAGGTTGCAGCACAGGCCCGGGTAGTAATCTCAGTCTGTTGCCCACAGGATCACTGTGAACTGGAATAGACTTGACGGCACGTAACAACAACTTCTAAAAATGGCCTGCCCTTGTGCCATTATGAGTTCAACATGGGGTACTAACTGAAAGGTGGGGTGCCCACGAGCTGCTCTGGGGAACGAATATGAGGCTGGCTGCTGTTGTAAAGACTCACAGCCTTGGAAACCCTATAGAGCAGTTCCGCTCTGTCCGAAACGGTTACTATGAGTCAGAATTGATTTTATGTGGTTTTTTGTTTTTGTTTTTTTAATTTCTAAAATGTATCAAATCTAAGTCTATTGACTTAGGATTCCTAATGCTTAAAACAAGAGTCCTATGTTATTAAATGCTGTCAAGTCGATTTCAACCCATAGTGACCCTGATAGGGTTTCCAAGGAGCTTTGAACCGCCGACCTTGCAGTTCAAACTGCTTTGCAGTGTGGAAGTCTGCAAGTCTAGTGCACCACACCAAGTCTGGAAGTCTGGTGCGCCACACCAGGAGTCCTAAGGGTCCTATACACATGAGCTAATGGGACGAAATGGGCAGTCAAAAATCAACTGGAGGCAACTGGAAAAACTAGGTAGGACCGTAGGGGGCAGTGAGTGAGTGTATGTTAATGAGAGGAAACCAATTAGGAAAATGAGGGTGAGAATGGTCATATAACTTGAAGAATGTAATCAACATCACTGAATTGTATCCATAGAAACTGTTAAGTTGTTGTGTGTTCTGCTGTGTATATTTTTAGTAACAACAAAATTAATTTTTTTTTTAACTCAACAAGAGTTTGATAGGAAGAAGAACAAAAGGTAATAAAGTTTGAGTAGAAAAGAAATGGCACCTTCATTTTCACTAACTTCTACTAGAAATTTAGCATTTCTCAATTACGGATATTGGCAATAGCTTACAGCAGTATTACTATTTTCTGTGCCTTTGACTCTATCTGAAATTGTTGTTGTTGTTAAGTGCCGTTGAGTCAGTTCCGACCCATAGCGACCCTGTACAGGGTTTCCGAGGGTGTAAATCTTTACGGGAGTAGAAAGCCTCATCTTTCTCCCGCGGAGTGGCTGGTAGTTTCGAATCGCTGACCTTAAGGTTCGCAGCCCGATTTGGTAACCACTACGCTACTTTTAAATCATGACAGTTGTTCAAGCCTGACACGAATTGTGAGGATGGCGCAGGGACTGGGTAGCATTTTATTCTGTTGTCACAGGATCACTGAGTCCGAAAGAACTCGAGGGCAGCTAACAACAGATATATCAGAACATTATTAAACTCTAAATTAAGGTGGGTATTACCCTCCCTACTAGATCCCACGTAATCACATCTTGTCTAGACAAGATGTGACGAGGCTAGATAATGACTGAGACCTCTCCTAATAATCATTCGGCCACTAAATGTTGACACTCATTTTAGTGGCCCAGATACCTATGTGGCTTCCCACTTACTCCCACCCATAACGGTTTGTCAATAAAGGACCACCCCACAGACTCACAGTCTTACACCAACTAAGCATAAATCAGCTTTTATGGTATTTTAGAAAACACAAAATAAAATTTTATTTTATTTAGAAAATAAAATTTTATTTTCCCGTATTTTAAATTATCTTGTTTTTTGCATGTATTAATTTCAAAGCACATAAACTGTATCACAAATTTACTTGCTAAAAATATTTAAACTGCATTTAAATGTAATTGGTAGTCTTTAATGACATATACTTTAAGCCCTTCAAAACATTCTTCTGTTTTCAAGGGATCCATGACCAAAATTTAAAAAAATTCAGCTGGCAGTTGCCTAGAAGCAAGAATGGTAAGACTCTGTCTCACAAACTATGGACAAGTTATGGGGTCAGTCCCTACAAAAAGGACATTATGCTTGGTAAAGTAAAGGATCAGTGAAAAAAGAGGAAGACCTCAACAAGATGGCCTGACACAGTGGCTGTAACAATGGGCTCAAACCTAAGGACAGCTGTGAGGACGGGGACAGGACTAGGCAGTGTCTCTCGGTCACTACGTTTCAGAACTAACAACATGGCACCAAAAATGTAAGATTTCCTGGTCTAAGGTGAACCTAGGCATCAACTTTCATTTGTTCATTCAAAGTATTTATTGAGTACTGCTGTAGGATAAGCACTGGACACCTAACCAAAAGGTTGGCTGTTCAAACCCACCAGCTGCTCCTCAGAAACCCTACACAGGGTCACTATGAGTTGAAAACGACTCAATGGCACTTAACAACAACTACTATAGTATTTATTAGGTTGGACGGTTAGAAATCGCCAACATTTGAGTATTTTTCCATACCAAAATGGCAACTTCATGTCGTTCAACTTAATGTTTGTCAGGCCCAACCTCTAAGTTCACTGAAAACAGAGATGGCCATGCAGTTTAAAAAAAATAAAAAATAAAAAAATCTTGAAAATAGAAACACTAATGCTTGCAGAAGACATTAAAATCTTCATGAAATTAAGAACAGGCAGCACACAGAAATAAGAAGGCTACGAGCCCAGAGGGAATTACCCACTTAATTATCTTGAATGAGAATGACCCAAATATAATGACAAATTAATATTATTTTCTATGACCTAACAATGATGAAAAGGAGTCCTGGTGTAGCACTGTAGGATCAGCACTGGACTCCTAAACATAAGGTCAGCAGCTTAAACTCACCAGCTGCTCCTCAGAAATCCTATACAGGGTCACTATGAGTGGGATCCAATTAGATGGTACTTAACAATGAGAAGCCTTTCCCAAATGCTCACCAAATGCTTCAATAACTTTTTCCAAATTAAATAACTGATCTTCTACCTTATAACGAAAGGCTACCTCAAATTCAACACTGAAGTCAGTAAGAAGAAGAATGTCTTACATTCGTATGTTGCTGGTGGCTGTGTGCAGTCAAGTCGGTTCTGACTCATAGAGACCTTGTATAGCGTTTCCAAGGCCACAAGTCTTTACCAGAGCAGAAAGCTTCATCTTTCTCCCGTGGAGCGTCTGGTGGACTCAAACTGCTGACCCTGTGGTGAGCAGCCCAATGCATAACCCACCACATACATTACCAGGGTTCCTTACATCTGAATGGTACTTAATAATAGACAAAGTGAGTCCCTAAATTATCCCATTTGATCCTAACCACACCCCTGCAAAACAGACTTGGACAAATTACCTCAAATTTTCAGGTTGTACAACACACAACATATCCAATGGGACTCACAGAGAATCTTAAAAACTGACCTTAACTTTAAGCCAAAATCTCTACTGTAAGTGACAAGTAATTAAATTTGTTGCTTTTGTTGTTGTTGTGTTAAGTGCCATCGAGTCAATTCCGACCCATAGCGACCCTGCATAGGGTTTCCAAGGAGAAGGTGGTGAGATTGAACCATCGACCTTGCAGTTCAAATGACTTTGCAGTCTGATGCATTAGCCCACAGCGCCACACCAGGACTCTGTCGAATCGGTTCCGACTCATAGTGACCCTGTACAGCGTTTGTGAGAAGCAGCTGGTGGGTTGAACCGCCAACCTTGTGGTTAGCAGTCCAGTGTTTATCCTGCAGCACAACACCAAGGAGACAAAATAGCAAAGTGCTTCAAGATCAAGGAAAGCTAGGTCTGAATCTCAATCTATCACTTACTTTCCATGTATTCCTGAGAAGTTTCTTCATATTTATAAGGCTGAACTTAATAAAGTAGGAATAACCCTTCAAATAAAACAAGATACAGTATTTAAAGCCGTTACCCTTTATAACAGCTGCACATATCACAATCATTTATTTTTATTATGAACCTCCACAAATCAAGAAATGGTACTCTTAGCTGAAAGAATTTAGGAAAGCAATGAGTCAATAAACACAGCGCAGGCAACAGGATCCTAAAGTTCTGCTCCACAGTTGCCCTGGTGACTCACCCATGCTCTCTGTAGCACATCATTCTATCATTGGAAAGCCTTTTGAAAAAATTGGCATAACCAATGTCACAGAATTTAGAGACCTACTTTTCTTCAATATATATTATTGTTGTTAAGTGCCACTGAGTCAGTTCCTACTCATAGCAACCCTGTATAAAGTTTCGGAGGAGCGGCTGTGGGTTTGAACCGCTGACCTTGTAGCTCCAACTGACCTTGCGGTCCATTATCCTGCAGCGCCATACCTTCAAAATCTCCTATGTTGTGAACTTGGATCAAGAATTCAGTAAGAGCTACTACTTGTAGTTTACAACGTCTATTCTTAAGATCCCAAAGTAGAGCACAAACTGTGTGTGCTCGACTACTAGCCTACAGGTTGGCAGTCTGAGCCTATCCAGCTGGTCTACCGGAAACAAGGCCTGATGATCTGCTTCCATTAAAAATAATGCCAAGAAAACCGATGGAGCAATTCTACTCTGTAACACAGAGTCAGCACGAGTTGAAATTGACTGCACAGCAACTAACAACAATATTTGCTGATATTTACTCATGAGCCCAAGGACAGAGCCTTTGTCTTACTTCTGGTAGCTGATGGAGAACAAATAAGATACTGAATTAGATCATGGATAGAAGATAACACCAAAGAAAGAATATTGGATAGAAAAGAATTAAGTAAAAGAAAACTATTTTCCATCCTGAAGGCAAACAAAGGGTCAAATTACTTACTCTTGGCTTACCACCTCCTCATCCTCTGAGGATGACGCTGTTTCCTCCAGGTCCCGGGCCATCACGACTGGCATTTCCCTTGGGGTTTGTCATGCAGTCAGCAGACAGGGGGCCTCAGAGACCTTTCCTTGCAGATTCACTGGATCAAACAATTTGGGTGGCACAGAGTCCTGCAAGAAAGTGACCTAAAGCACAATGCAGCTGTCTATTTATTGACTATTGCTAACCATCTTCCAAATAATGAAATGAATCTATAATGAAATGGTGCCCAACCTTCAGGCTTACCTTCTCTCACAGTGCCTCCAACACGCCACAAAAATCAAGACTTTTTCGAACACACTGTCTGTGCTTTATGTATTAATCTGTTAAGTTCAAACTTCCTATTAATTTTTATAGACTAAAATTACAATGCACCAAAAAGGGAGACTTGTTTAACTTTTAAGAGTTTGATGCAGGTGGCTGATTGCCTAGATTTAATCTGGGTTAAAAATAAAAGCAAAAACTCAAGGTTTAAGACATGAAGTCAGCAGATGAGGGGCCAAATATTTCTTTATGACAAGCAAACTGCTCTCAGGTTTCCAGTGAAACAAACACAGCAACTGAACCAAAAGATTAATATAGTCTCCTCAATCAAGAGTCATATAAATAGTTGGGGGGTTGGGAGTGGGAAGAAAAGGCGAGAAGGGTCATTCGTCAAAATTATTCTCCTTTACTAAAAATCACACACTTTTAAACTAAGTCTCAAACAGATATTCAAATTGGGGTATTTCTACATTTTCATTTTAAATTGAAATAGTTTTCCATAGGGAAAAGTACTACGTGTTGGTTGAGGAGAGCTAGAAGACTAAACACTCCTGACAAAGAAAATGAAAATGTTTAAATTACCATAATCCCACTACCCAAAGATAACCACTTGATGTCAATCTTGCCAAACCTTTCATTCTCTGCAGTCATGTACACCATAAAGAAAAAACCAAAATTGACCCCACATTGAACCCTACAGATTTTCAGCGGAATGGGCAATATTGAAAACCCCAAAAGGCGTTCTTGGGAAAATTCCCTAGGTGATTTCTCGATCTTTCCCAAAATGTTGGGGAACTCCTTTAAATTAAAACAAACAAAACCTTCAAGCGAGCAAAGGATAACCATCTTTCCGCGACTGCAGGGTGATCTGAAGAGGATTAAGGACATCTGCCCAAAGAACGTCCTCGTCCGATAGGAATCAAGTCCCTCAATCCCAACCAGGCTCACCCCAATCCCAGGAGAGTCCGCAGATGCTCCCTCTAGGAGGAAAGGGGCGACTCCGCCGCAGCGTTTCAGCCCGGCGCGCCCGGAAGCCAGCAGCAGCTCCCGGGCTCTGAGAGGGAAGTGCAGCCGCCGGCGCCCGCCAAGACCCGGGAGCACACCTCCCTCCCTCGGGTAAAGAGCGCGCCGGCGCAGGAGTTTACCTGGCTCATCCTCCCATGGCTCCGGGCGGGCAGGCGGGGACCGCGTTCTGCTCCTACTTCCCTCCTCCTTCCCCTGCCTGGCTCCCGGCCGCCGCAGTCCGCTGCTTCCCCCGTTACTACAACAACCAACAAGCAACCGCCCGCTCGGAGCCACTGCGCAGGCGCCCGCCACCCGGCGCTGACAATGCTCGACTTCGGTCGCAGACGAATACCGTCACCACTGTCCAGCGAGGGCACAGAACCCTACCCTCAACGGCGCAGAAAGGGGGCTTGGCTTCTTTTATTCGCTTTCTTTTCCTCCGCCCCTACAGGGTTGGCTCCAGACCCAGAGTCCTTACTCAACAGGAGAAATCACTGCGTGGGCGGAGTACCTAAAATGAGGCTTGGAAAGCGGCAACCGCTGATTGGCAGTAAAGGGGTTCACTCCCCATCGCCTGCTCGAAGCAAAGCTGGCACAGCCAATCAAAGCGACGAATGACGGAAAGGACCCAATCCTAGAGCCGGACTGAAGGTGGGGGCGGGGACATATGTCCCAAGTGGACTCCAGGCTGGAGCTGACTTGGAGGACCTTCTTCGCGGCTGATAACTGCTTCTGCTGTTGTTACTGTGCAGGGAGTCCGAGCGCCAGGTAATGAAATTATGGGCTAGAAGACGGAGGATACAGATGTAGGTGTTTGTATGGCCTTTGTTTGAAAGGATCCGGAGAGTGTAGGAAAATGGGGGTGGTGTGGAAGGAAGATATCTTTTGAGGGGGAAAAAGCTTCAGAGACGCAGGAGTGGGGTTGGAGAAGGCTGCATAGGTTCGGAGAACGAATGGATGGATGAACGAATGAGCGACCTTCACTTTCTCGTGTAATCCTCATTGTAACCACCGAGGTAGGTCTTGCCTTTCCATTTTGCAGGTGAGGAAACCCAATCCTTACTGAAGGGTAAGGACCAGGATAGGAACTCCCTCCTGAATCTACGATTTAACACCGTAGCTTTGCTGGGACAAATTTAGGAATAAATGTTGGATAGTTTCTGGTGTGGCGCTGTAGGATAAGCACTGGACTGCTGCCCGCAAAGTCAGCAGTTCAAACCCACCAGCTGCCCCTCGGAAACCCTATACAGGGTGCCTATGAGTTGGAACCAACTCAAAGACGCTTAACAACAACAGTAAAGCGAAAGGAAAGGAGTCCTGTGGCATAGTGGGTTACACGTTGGGCTGCTAGCCACTATCTCAGTAGTTCAAATCCACCAGCTGCTCTGTGGAAGAAAGATGAGGCTTTCGGTTCCCATAAATATTTACAGCCTCAAAAACCCTATACAGGGTCGCTATGAGTCGGAACTGACTCAATGGCACACAACCACCACCAAGTTACAGGGATATTAGCATGAGGGATGATAGATCAGTTCAGAAGTGTGGCCATGTTCCACCCTCATCAGCTATTTGCCAGGATTTCTAAAAGGATTTCTTGAAGTGGAAGCCATTCGTTCTGTGGAAAAGGGAGGCCTTCCAGGTAACTGCATCTCCTGAAAGAAGATGGAGGATTTAGGCTCAAGGCTGTAACTGCCTGGAAAGGCCAAACCAAAAATCAAACCTACTACCATGGATTCTGCATTTGTAGCGAGCCTTTAGGACAGAGTTGTTGAACAGCTCCATTGAATTTCCAAGACTAAATATGGGAGAAGACAGACTCCAGGGGGAGCATCCGGTGGGTTTGAACCACCAATCTTAAAGGTTACAGCCCAGTGTTTAACCCAGTGTGCCACCTCCTCTCTCTCTCTCTCTCTCTCTCTCTCTCTCTCTCTCTCTCTCTCTCTCTGTCTCTGTCTCAGTTGGGTAGTATAAAGCCATGCTGAAATTTACACTGCCAAAGTGACAGAGAGCCTGGTAGTTTACTACTACCTCACACCAAGAAGTTAACCTCTCAGCAGGTAAGCTGTGGGCCAGAACACCTGAATCAGAAGCGACCTTGTCATTATTAGTGTCTTTGTCCAGGTGAGTTTGATTTAACCCTTTCGTGACCTCTGGGATATATATAACCCACCAACATTTTCAGCCTCTCAGGTTTCTTGGGAAGCTGCTAGCCCAGTAGTAGTAGTTGCTACTGCCTCAGAAGGACCTGCGTGAAGCTGAAGAAACAGGCTGCATCCCACCAGTCCTACCATTAGAGTACACTTGGGACATATCTGTGACATATAATTGTGTCCAAATCCATATTACTGCTAAAAAATTTTTTTTTGTTTTTCCTCTTGATTTCAGCTTGCCTTCCATTACTGAAAAATACATGGTACCAACAAAAAAATACTCAAAGCAGAAATTATTTGGTCATGAAAAGGTTAAAATTACAATAATTGAAATCTCTATTCAGCAAAAAGTGATATACGCTTTAAAAAAAAAAAAAGTAATGTATTTTCCATGCAGACTGTAGATAAATATGGTATGCTTGTCTTCCTCAAACATGGAAACTTGATCAAAACATCCCCAACAGGGAGGCAGTATTGCAAAGTCAAGTTATAGGGGAGCAAAGTGGCTCCATGTGACAAGCACTGGACTGCAAACCATAAGGTCTGCAGTTCAAGTTCCCCAGCCGTTCCTCAGGAGAAGGATGAGACTTTCTGCGCCCACAAAGATTTAAAGCCTCGGAAACCCTATACAGGGTTGCTATGAATCAGAACCAATTTGATGGCACTTAACCACAACAACCTTGTTATAAGGGAGCACAGTGGCGCCATAAGATAAGCACTGGACTACAAACCACAAGGTCCGCAGTTTGAGCCTATTAGTTGCTTCTCGGGAGAAAGATGGAACTTTCTGCTTCAGCAAAGATTTAAAGCCTTGGAAACCCTTTACAGGGTTGCTACGAGTTGGAACTGACTCAATGGCACTTAACCACAACAACTTTGTTATAAGGAGTCCTGGTGTAGCATGGGACTGCTAACCACAAGGTTGGTGGTTCAAACCCACGAGTCACTCCTCTGCAGCCCTCTGCAGAACTGCTGTGACTCAGAACCGACTCGACAACACTTAATAATAAGCACCTTGTTCTAAGTATTAAATAAGATAGCTACGTTATGGCCTTCACACAGTGTCCGTAATAACTTCTTGTTGTGCGCCACTGAGTCACTTCCAACTCAGAATGATCCTGTATAGGGTTTCTGAAAGTGGCTGGTGGGTTTGAACTGTCAACCTTGTGGTTAGCAGTCCAGTGTTTATCCTATAGTCCAGTGCTTTGATCAATTCTCTTGGAGCCCAACATCATGCTTGCTGATTCCTTCTCAGTAAATTTTCTCCTTAATTCTCAAGTTGCAGCAGCTGATTTATTTTTAAGTTTGAGACTGTTCAAATGTATGGAACATGATGTGCTTGAGACCCAGAGTAGAGATAAACCTCAGGATGCAAGTACTGACCTCTCACCAGAGGTGCCACTCAAAGGTTGTACAAACTTGGAAGGATCTATCATTGATGGCGAGGCAGGTGTCTAGTAGATTTATAATCACCTTTGAGCCACTTCCCTTACAGAGGAATAAAATGAAAAACGAGGCTTGATGCAAACTGTAGAACTGATTCTAGCCAAGAGGGGGAGTTCTGATTTGGGGCTGTATTTTGTAGAAATTGGGTAGACAGACTTGGTGGTGGTGTGCTGTCTAGTCAGTTCCCACTCATAACAATCCTGGGTAGGGTTTCCAAGGCTTTATATCTTTGCGGAAGAGGAGACTTTCATCTTTCTCCCGCAGAGCGGCTGGTAGATTTGAACAGCTGACCATGCAGTTAGAAGCTCAATGCGCAACCCACCACGCTACCAGGGCTCCTTGGACAGAAAGTAAGCCAAACTAAAACAAAAGTTAGTGCTGTGGAGTTGACTCAGACCGGTGGTGGTTATGTGCCGTGGAGTCGGTTCCGACTCATAGTGAGCCTGTACACTGAGGCTGTAAATCTTTACGGGAGCAGAAAGCCTCTTTCTCAGGCGGAACAGCTGGTAGTTTCGAACTGCTGACCATGCGGTTCGCAGCCCGATTCATAACCACTACGCTACCAGAGCTCCTTCTACTCATTGCTTATTGCAAGCTGTACTATTTGCATAACTGAATATGGAGCCCAATTTCTATAAGCCTTACACTGAGACAATTATTATTTTATAGGGACAATTATTCACCTTCTTTTCTTCTTGTCCCTTCTCTCCATTTCGTTTCCCCCCTTGGGTTTGTCATTTCCACCCACTGCATCACACCTATCCCTCTGGTAAAGGTTTAGGATAAATATTCTAAGACAGCCTGCTGGCCCTGTGAGGTAAGAAACTGGGCGTGGATGAGCCTAAGGAACTCGGAGAACAATGTATGAAGTGATTGACCAACTAAGCTTAGTAGAGCCCAGGAGTGGGATGCAGGTCAGTCCCAGAGCTGACAGGGCTTAGGGTTGCAATAGACTGAAGCTTACCATCTCACGCCCTCGGCCTTTATTTCCAAGGCAGAAAGCCCTGTGAGAGTGGAGGAGAGTCATGGGCCGTTTCCTGAATGTGTTACGCAGCTGGCTGGTGATGGTGTCCATTATAGCTGCTGGGAACACACTGCAGAGCTTCCGAGACCACACCTTTCTCTATGAAAAACTCTACACTGGCAAGCCAGACCTTGGTAAGAAGTCAGAGGACAGCATCACTGAAGTGACCATACCCGAAAACTTAATAAGCAAACAAAACGCAGGTGGCATTTCCCCCTCCGGCCTGCCTACTAAACCCTTCACCCTTAAGCAGGACCCAAGAATGTGGTTTTTAAAAGCTTCAGGTGGTTCTGAGGCTGCCTAATCTAGCCTTTGAGAACCACTGGAGTGGATAGCATATGGCCTTTTCCCCCATCCCCAGCTTATCTGATTATCTTTTCATTCATTTTATGCCAGCCTGAGAGATTCGTCAGTATAGAAAGTACTGTAAGAACAGGGAAGGAGCTGTTCATTGGTGAAACTTAATACCTCACTAAAAGCCATACCACCAAACCTACTGCTATCGAGTCGATCCCTCTAGGACAAAGTAGAACTGCCCCCAGAGGGTTCCAAAGCTGTGGTTTGTATGGACGCGGACTCATCCTGAGAAGCTGCTGCTGGCTTCAAACCCCCGACCTTTCGGTTAGCAGCTGAGTTCTTAACCACTTTACCACCTTTGTTGTTAGGTGCCATCAAGTCAGTTCTGACCCTGTGCACAGCAGAACTAAACCCTGCCCAGTCCTTTCACTGTGGCAGTCCACCTAACTGAGGTCTTGGTTTTTGCTGACTATTTTACCAAGCAGGATGTGCTTAGGGACTGGTCCCTCCTGATGACATGTCCAAAGTACGAGAGACCTAGTCTTGCCATCCTCAGTTCTCAGGAGCATTCTGGCTGAATCTCTTCCAAGACAGATTTGTTGGTTCTTTCTGGCCATCCAGGGTACTTTGAATATTCTTTGCCAACCCCATAGTTCAAATGCACCAATTCTCCAGCTTCCTTATTCCTTGTCACTCTTTTACATGCATATGAAGCCCTCTTCAGAAATCAGGTTGTGGCAGACCTAGTTTACATTCCTTGTTACAGATGAAGAGCTATGAGACCCAGGTCATCCCAAACTGTGACACAATCGAAGATCCGTGATGGGCTTGCCGGCTCTCTGAACCTCTCTGCTGAGAGAGTTTTCAGATTTCACTGCATTCATATGTGGGGTAGTTGGACTTGCAGCGTAGTTTTCCAGCAGCTAACAATGCTCTGTCACATGGGTAGCTAACCCAGATTCAGGCTCTGACCTGGCCCATTTTTCTGCAACATCTGGGTGTAAAAATGAAACAAAGTGGGCTACGGCTCATTATGAACCAAGCTCCTACACATTAAGAGCAAGGCAACTGGAAAAGTGGGCAGGACACTTGAATTTTCTCAGCCTCAAACACTGCCCTGGACAGTCACAAATGCTGGGCTCTCTGAACTAGCCTTGCATTTTCAAGCTGAGACAGAAAGCCCAGAGGTCCTAAGATTTGCTAAAGGGCACGGAGCTGAGCAGAAGGTGTGTGCGCCTGTCCCAGAAGTGGAGACTGCCTTCTCTCTCATGGACTCTACTGACCAGGCCAGTGCTCTGGGACACTGCAGAATTTCAGTGGGTGCACAAGCTGGGGGTTATTGTTACTGTCGAGCTCATTCCAACTCATGGTGGTCCCTTGTGCACAGAGTAGAGCTGCCCCATCGCGTTTTCAAGACTGTGACCTTTCGGAAACAGATGGCCAGGCCTGTCTTCTGAGGGGCTTTTGGGTGGGAGTCTGGGGAAGACTGGCAAAATACGCCTCTCCAGTATTTCACCAACTCGAGAAATGTGCTCAGTCTTTTCATCAGAAGATAAATTGGTTTATGAGGAGTGTGGCTCTTCAGGACTAAAAGCTAGATCGTCCATATGCACAGAATCTGGTATTGCTGTCTGGTATTCCAAAGAAGGGAAAGTCCATAAAATCCAACTAAACAGGCGTTTCAGTTGGAACATTCTCTTGCCTGGGAGACCAGCAAAGAGTGGTAGCTTTGTTTTCATCATTTGGGCATTTTCAACTTGTTAGACGTCTTAGATAAATGGCTCTACATTTAAGTCACTCAGGCAGGGGGCTGCCTAGAAAACATTTATACCCAGGGCCTACCTCAAAATAATATGGTTTAATTGGTTTGCTAGGCAGCTCTTGGTGTTTCATAAAATTCTTCCAGTGGATTCTAATGACTAGGATTAAGAACCGCTATTTTGGTAGTCTATGACCCATACTTTCAGAATGAGTTATTTGATACAGCTGTGTCAGAACCAACACAAAGAGCAACATGTCCCAGGCAAACAACTAAAAGCATTGTTCCGTTACTATCTGCACAGAAAACCAATCTGGTTTGGACGTTGTTCAGATAATGTAGATCTGGACGCAGGAGACGTAGTTCTCTTACTGGCCAGATGTGGACACCTCAGTCGGCCCCAGTAGCTCTGTGTTTTCTCCCGGATCCGCCTAGAAAGTCTGCTGGACTCCTCCTAGGCATCTTGTGCTGACAGCCCAACCTCGGCACTGCTCCCCTTAGCCTGTCCGGAAACAGTCTCAGAGCTACCGCCAAGCTAGACTGGCTTCAGGCAGCAGAGGGGAAACACTATCAATCCAGGGCTCTTTGTTGGATTTCTCCTCTTAGCACACTTTACCGAACTACACACATTTGACGAGGGGCTAAGTGCTTCTCATTCTGCCATTCCTTCTAAATCCCATCTAGCACCGGCACATCCCAGCCAGAGGGAGTTCAGGCCCAGCTCCCCACCCACCAAGACCACCAGTGAAGTAGGGGGAACCTGGAGGGAACCCCAGCTGGCCACTTCTCAGCACTCTTGCTTTTCTCTGCTCCACAGTGAATGGTCTTCAAGCTCGGACTTTTGGGATCTGGACACTGCTTTCATCCGTGATTCGCTGCCTCTGTGCCATCGACATCCACAATAAGACGTATGTAAGGGGAGGAAGAGCTGTAGCACCCTCTCATTGGAAATCAGTGCTAGGCATGCCCATTGTCCCCACCCTTGTTGTTGTTGTTATGTGCTGGGGAGTCGGTTCCAACTCATAGCGACCCTGTAGAGGGTTTCCGAGGCTATAAATCTTTATGGGAGCAGAAAGCCTCATCTTTCTCCTGCGGAACAGCTGGTAGTTTCGAACTGATGACCCTGAGGTTAGCAGCCCGATTCGTAACCACTACGCTACCAGATTTCCTTGTCCCCACCATTGATGAACCATTAATCATTTTGCATATTAGCCTAGAATGTGGATCATGGAAAGTGAGTAGGTTCCGGTTGTAAAAGGAGTTAACAGTTATTAAAAGTGTAATAGTTATTAAAGACCATCATTAAAGTCTGAAACATCTGTAAAACTGACATAGCAAACTGGCAGTGCAGAGCAAAACCCAGTGCCTGCAGCCTCCATCTCTTTCCTAAACACCAGGCCACTCACTGCCATGGAGTCAGTTCCAACCCAGAGCAACCCTAGTTTCCGAGATTACAGATCTGTGGAGAGCAGGCAGCCTCATCTTTCTACTGAGGAGCAGCTGGTGGGTTTGAACTGCTGACCTTGTGGTTTCCCATCCAGTGCTTATCATACAGCACCACCAAAGTTCCTGTTTCCTAAAGGACCAGGCTTTCTTCTACTAAAGTAGAATAAGGGAGTCTGCCCTTGGTTCGAAAATATTGGGGTTGTGGGGTGCCAGGGGAAGCAATCCCTCCAAGGCTAAGAGCTATCATAAAGAGCTACTTACACTGTGTTAGGTACTATATGTAATTGAGAGATGATTTAAGGTAAACTGTAGGTTATGTGTAAATACTGTGTCATTTTATATAAGGGATTTTGCATCCTCACATTTTGGTATCATGGGGGTCCTGAAACGAACCCCCATGAGTACCAAGGGGCAACTAACTGTTTAGAGTGGCCACCCATCCACACCTTTATTGGTTCCCACTCCTCCACCTTAGGAATAAGCAGGAATGGACATAAACCACAGTCCCTGAAAAAGAGGGGCCCACAAGTCAAGGCAAGGAGCCCTGCTAGTCTAGTAGATGGCGAGCTGGGCTGCTGACCACAAAGTCAGCAGTTCAAATCTACCACCTGTTCCAAGGGCAAAAGATGAGGCTTTCTGCTTCCGTAGAGATTTGCAGCCTCAGAAACCCTATCCAGGGTCACTGTGAATCAGAAGCAACTCGGAGGCACATCACCACCACCATCACCAGTCAAGTCAGTAGTTGATTAACTCTCAACTCTACCGTCTCTCGGAGTCCTGGTGTGTGGCGCTGTGGGCTAATGTGTCAGAACTGCTAGGTTGGTGGTTAAAGCTCACCAGCTGCTCCTTGGAAAAAATATACAGCTGCGGGTGGTCTTAGGCTCTGGTCTAGAGGATGCCTGGGTAAAGGTTTAGTACTGCCTTTGGCCACTGGGGGGTGCTCAAGCATTCTTCCCAGCAGACACCCTCACAGTCATGGTGGAAACTCAGGTCACAGTGCCAGCCAGCTTCACTTCACTTCACACTAAAAGACCTTTACTCCATGCTCATAGCATCTAGAGGGGGAAGGAGGGCCAACTCTTTATAGAACTGCTCTTATGCCAGGAGTTCCACCTCTGTGACCTTGATTAAGTCTCCTCATAACAGCCCTGGTACCTAGGGATTCCTTGTTTGGCACATCAGAATGTCAGGGACCCAGTTCATTTAAGCTGAGGAAGACTGATGCAAGTGGGATTTGATGCGGACTATTGGCTCTGAGATCTCTCCAGTTTTCTTTGAACTTGAAACTGTGGTTTACTTGTCCTAGATTGACATATATTTTTGGAAACAGTATGGTTTAGTGGAAACTAAAGAATCAAACAAGAAAACAGGTCTCTGTTCTATCAGTAGCTAGTTTTATGGCAACAGTGTTATTACTTACTCTTCCTGTTACACCTGCCGTTTCTTCATCTGTGAAATGAGACTCACGTGTCTGTTGTACCTCTCAGAGTGCCTAGGAGAGACAGGGCATTGACCGTTTGAGTGACCTTTGCCATGCTCTGTCTTTGGTTTGTTGTGCTTTGGTAGTCAGCAAAGAGAACTCAGCCTGATCCATACCCGTATTATCCATCCATTTCCTCCTGTCCCAGGACAGCTGCTGCATTCCTAGTTCCAGCTCTCTGCTACCCTAGGACTTTGATCTGTGTACTCTGATCCTCTTCCCTTCCTGCTGGAAACTCAGAATCCACACCCATGCAAACAGATGTACTGAGCGTATGACAGCCGGCGTCTGACCTGACCCACTGCCATTGAGTGGTTCTGATTCATGGTGGCCTGATAGGACAGAACAGCCCCAGGAGGTTCCCAAGGCTGTAATAGTTACAGAAACTGACTGCCATCTTTCTCCCACAGAGCAGCTGATGGGGTGCAAACCGCCAACCTTTTGGTTAGCAGGCGCCCCACCAGGGTTCCTTTGAAGCAAACCCAGGCATGACGAAAGTCAATTGAGATAATTTCTTACCTCTGGGGAGGGAAAGAGAACTGGATCAAGGTGGGATACACAGGATGTTTTATCTGTTGTCTGTAGCATTTTCTTTCTTTGAAAAAAGTACCCAGAGTAAATACGTTAAAATGCTAAGGTGTGGTGGAGCTGGGTATTGGTTGCGTAGGAGTTCATGATATTACTATTAGTTGATTATCTCATTTCAATAGGTTCTAAATGTTTTATAAGGAGCTTTGGTAGCGTAGTGGTTACCATTCAGGCTGCTAATCTCACGATCAGCAGTTCGAAACTACCAGCTGTTCGTGGGAGAAAGATGAGGCTTTCTGCTCCTGTAAAGATTTACAGCCTTGGAAACCTTGTACAGGGTTGCTATGAGTTGGAACTGACTCCACGGCACATAACAACAACAACAACAGATGTTTTATAATTTTTTAAAAATACCATCTATGTGTGTGTGTTAGCAATCCGAGTGTTTGATCCTCCTGTAGCCCATTTTCTCCACCCATGGTCAAAGCTGAGAGACGAGTTCTCTTCCCATGGTTGTCTCCATGTCCTCTGTCTGATCACCTTCCCAGACTAAGTCACAGTAGAACAGCCAGTTCTTTCGATGCAGGAGCATCTAAAAGCCTCCCTGTTCAGACCTTGGTTCTGTGACATCCCTCACACCAGCACAGACAAGCCCACAGCCGGGCACCTGCCAGGGAGGCTTTGACTGCAGAGACAGCCAATTTGGAAAAGAAGCAAGTGTGAGCGTGGCTGACCCAAAAGTGCTCTCATCACCTGAGACTGCCATAAGCCAGATCTGCTGTGTGGGCGTTGGGCCCTCCACCTTATTAAGACTGGATTGTTCACTCTGGATGCCTGGACCAGCCTCTCCGTTCAGCAGACTGAAATCTTCACTTTGCCTTATTGTTCGTTAATGCTGACTTATGATGACCCCACATAGAATTGTCAAGGCATTGACCTTTCAGAAACAGATTGCTAAACCTGTCTTCCAAGGCACCTACCTCTGAGTGGGCTGGAACTGCTAACCTGGCAGTCAAGTGCTTAGCTATTGAGCGCCTCCTCAGTTTTGCCTGACTGGGAATCATTTGATAGGATCAGCTCCTCAGGTCTGTGGCAGGAATGAGCCTCCTATCCTGGGCCTTATTTATGTGTACGAAGTCAGAGTGATACTCTTCCTACTTCATGGCGCACAGGCCAGAACCTCAGTTCCCTTTCTGTCTGTCCCCTTGTAGGCTCTACCACATCACACTCTGGACCTTCCTTCTTGCCCTGGGCCATTTCCTCTCAGAGTTGTTTGTATACAGGACAGCGGCTCCCACGATTGGTGTCCTGGCACCCCTGATGGTGGCAAGTAAGCATCCGTAACCACCAGCCCCCAACCTCAACCCTCCCACGGGAGCTCCCACTGCCAGGCTGGAACGGGAGAGTAGCCCGGCAATGGGGACCACTAACCCATTCTCTGTCCTGAAGGTTCCTCGATCCTAGGCATGCTGCTTGGGCTCCGGTACCTGGAAGCAGAGCCAGTGTCAAGACAGAAGAAGAGAAACTGAGGCCACACTCCCCCTCCAGGACTTCACCGTCTTCCACCTTTGCTGTCCCCGCCTTCCTTCTCTTTGCCCTTTAGTTCTTTTTGACCTCTCATTGGCCCTTTTATCCACTTCTAGGCTTTAAGCTTTTTTTTTTTTTTTTTCACATTTAAAATTTTTTTAAAATACAACATACACACAAAAAAAGCATATGATATGTTTGGACAATTTAAAGTGAACACGATACCTCCAGGTCAGGAAACTGCCAGCCCCTCAGAGTGTAACCTTCCCCCACCCTTATAATTGCAGCCTTTTCCTGGCTCCCTTTCCAACCTTTTCTGGTTTTTCCTTTGATTTCTGTCCCTTGGTTTGACTTGTGTGCTGGATACATGTGAACTGGAGAGCTAACGCTGATGCCTCTCCCAGAGCAGCTGTGATCACGGGGCGTCCTCCCAGCCTGGGACTTGTGGCTGCTGCTGGACCCAGGTATCTGCGCCATCTAAGGACCGGGCGGATCTAGGAAGGGCTCCCCTGGGAGGGAACAGGACCATGGCTCTCCTACAGGTGGACAGGGTCAGGAGACTATTTTTAGACCTTCTGGTCAGCTGTATTTATGTAAAGAATTTTGTAATAAATAGAAAAACCCTCTTATTGGCCATTGTACTTTGACCTCCCCTAAGAAAAGAGCCCCCTGCCTCCTCTGAGCCCTAAAGTAGGATAATCACAGCTCTCTACCTGCCCAGGTACACCAGAGTGAATAGAATGGCTGTCTCCAGCTCCTTGGTGTCGCTTGCTTATTTCTCAGATGTTTGGAGCCTTATCTTCCTCCTCTCTGACCATCTTTAAGATTCTATGTACCAGTTCTTGTTTTCTTCTTGGGAAGAAACAGATTCTAGTGAAAGAAGAGGCAGAGCGCAGAATCAGGCAGAACAGAAGAAACAGCAGCCATGTCCAGGAAAAGGGGAGCACTAAACCTGAGTGAACGGTTCCCTGAAGACGCCTCCCTGAAGGTCTCCTCACTGGCTGAGCCATCACCCTCACCCACAGCCTCAAGACTCAGAGCTCATTCATCACTCGCTTATTTACTGCACATTCAGTCCACACCAGACACTTGGGCTATAGCACTAAACAATATAAGCAATGTCCCAGTTCCTGGGGACCATACATTACAGTCAAGAAAACAGACAACCAAGAAGTCAACAAATGAAAGAACAATGTTCTTAGTGCTAAAACCCCTAAAGAAGATACTGTGAACAAGACAGGTGTGTAACTGAGATTGGGTCATCAGGAAAGGCCTCACTCAAGGTGGGATGTGAACTGAGACTTGAAAACCTAGGAGATAGCTGTCCTAAGATACGGGGCAGAGCAAGCAGCAACTAGAAGGTAGAAACATTCTGTCTCAAGGAGCAGCATTAGGTCAGTGTGGTAAAGAGTCAGGGAATGACGGGTAAACGATAAGGTCAGAAAGGGAGGCAGGGGCCATGTAAGGCCATGGTAGGAAGCTTAGAGTTTATACTTAGGTGTGTTGGGAATTCCGTATCAGTTCTCTTGAGGTGAAAATGTACCCAAAGCTGGCTTAAACAATAAGGATAACATTGGCTCACGTAAGTGTTACGTTAAAAGGATTGTAGACTTCAGAAATGGTTTGCTCAGGACTCCAGCGCCCATTGTTTGGCATTGTTTTTGCCTCGGTCCTCTTCTCTGTGTTGACCTCATCCTCAGCTTGGCTTCCCTCTTGGCGCTGATCATGGTTGCAGCAATTCCAGCCCTCACAGCCACACACCACTCCTCCAAGGGCTCAGTGGTGGGAGCGGCCTTTTCCTTATTGTAAGGAACGAAGAGTAGCAGTGATCTACAGAGAGTGAACGCCTCAGTGTAGGTCCACCTGAGGCCACTGAAGAAACAAACATAAATGATGAGTGGAGTGCTTTAAGCATATGTGAGAAATAGGGCTGCAGATAAGTAAAGGCAAGATCCCAAAGGCTAAGGCAGGTAAAATATATCACAGACACTTGAAGTGGTAGTCATCTTCAAAGCTCGGGCCTGGCTCCCTTCCCAGATGACTTAAAGTGGAAGCATAATGGCTTTCCAGCTAAGAACTGCTAACAGATATGGTGCCAGCATGTTACAGGCAGAGTGTGTGTCCCGTGAGGAAATGTACAGAAAGCTGGTAGCATCCAAGTACCAGCTCTAAAGTGAGTGTGGTTGGGAAGGGATAATCCAGAAGAAAAACAAAGTGGAACTGCAGGTGCTACTGGGCTTAAGCTTGGGACTTTGGTCAGAGCCAGTGTCTGGTTGGTGTGATCATAGAACAAACACTTCAGCCCACCTTTGAGGTCGAGCCAGAAACAACAATGCAGTTTGGAGAGCGAGCAGTCAGTGTCACATCCTGGGCACGGAGCTGCAATTCCTGTGAAGGCAGACTAACTTGCACAGCCTTGTCTTCAAAAACCTCACTCTCTGGGATGGTAACATCTATAGAAACGGGAGACCCTCCTCTGTGCAAGGCCCCAGAAGCCCCTCTTCTAGCCCTGGCTTCCAGTCAGCCCTCTAACACTAAAGCAACTGAGTCTGGAGAAATGTGTAATCATCTCATTGTTAATGTGCCTTTGAGTCGGTTCTGACTCAGCATGGGGACTACCAAATTCCCACTCCGAGAATCTTTTATTGCCTTAAAATGTCTGGCATTACAAATAGAAAATACAAATGATGATTTCAGAATAAGGCAACTGATTTGGTAAACATTTTGTTAATCCATTATGAAGGTTTCAAGAGTAAGCACTGTTCTCGTAATGAGAACCGGGACACCTCTCCACCCTTCTCGCACCCCCAATCGGTCCCTCACCAAGAGTGGGAACTCCTTTTACTGCATCCGGGACATGTGTCCCCGGTTCACTGCTCCTGTCTACATGCGGTTAAGTGCAGATAAGCTGATTCTTCTGACTCAGCGGTCCTGTACAGGATTTCTGAGGAGTAACTGGTGGGTTTGAATCACTGACCTTTCAGTTTGCAGTCCAGTGCTTATCCTACCGTGCTACAGTGGAACTCCCATGTCTCCACGCATGCACACAGATCTGGCTCCCCTCAGGGGCCGTAGCCTAAGCACCCCAGCACTGCAGCTAACACAAGAGGGGCTAAGGCCAGGGCAGTGGCTTCAGCAAAGCGGCAGAGTGGCCACAATGGCAGCTGCTCAAGGTGCCCACCTGCTCTGCTATTCTCTGGAGAAATTATGGAGGGCCGTGAGGACAGCAGCCTGCGAAGCAGGAATAGAAGCCAGCTTGAATTGGTTTAGAGGAAGTCTCTTTAAAGTTAGATTATCTGATGAAGTTTATTGCTGGGGGGGGGGGATAAAGGGGGGCTGAGTGCGCAGATCTTGCCCCCACCCAGAAACCCAGAAGTAGGGTAGACTTAATTCATCCCCATGCCAACGTTCATTTACCGTTTCTGCTCTTCCTGCCCTCTCAGAGTGGAACAAACCAAGACTGGATTTCAGTACTGGTGAGAGTACATGGGCTGGGGTTTCTCACTTGGGCTGAGGTATCAGGGCTAACTATAGCACATACACACAAGTCCCCAAGCAAAACTTTTGTAAACAACAAAAAAGAACCTCCCCATTCCCTAATCTGGGACTCCACAAACACACACTCAGCCCCAGCACTGTATACACTGGGCACGTATTGTTAGCTGTCACTTGAATCGATGACAACAGTGACCCCATGTGTGCAGAGTACAATGTCACAGAGTTTTCAAGACTGCGACCTTCCAGAAGCTGATGGCCAAGCTTATCTTCTCAGGCACCTCCGTGGATTTGAACTGCCAACCTTCTGGCTAGTATTCAAGCACTTAGCTATTTGTGCCACCCAGAGACTATTGCAGGCACTTAACCCTCCCAAATTAATTTCTTCTTCAAGGCCATATCCAAGTTTGGTCAAGTTTATTGATGTTTGGTTTGATCAGCTCTGAGGAAAGAGGGTTTAGAAACATACCCCAACATTAGGCCAAGAGAATCTAGGCCCAAGAGTTCCGAAGGAGTTGTTCTCTTGTGTTTTCCGTCCCCCAGAACCCTAGCAGCTGCTCTGGTGACCCAAGAATGACTTCAGTCACATTAGATATCACTCTTTAGAACTGAGTTTCCTGTGAGGATCTTAAGGCACTAGAAAGAGTGAGACCCTGAATAAGTATTCTTCCTGTGATAATTTTTAGACTTTCTCCACGAGGGATGGAGCTGAAGAGGAAAGGCAAGGGACCAAGTCAGGATTTTGACTCCCGTATTCTCCACCAGCCTCTTCTAACACCAGCTACCATAACCCAAAGTGGGGCGGGGTGGGAACCAAATCTAAATTTGATGAAATGGTACAATTTTCCCAAGTAAACCGTCCAAGCTCTGGAGGAGCTCTGGGAGGCAAAGGCATCACTGTCCAAGCCACAAATATCCCAGCTGGTTCCTTCCACAAGATGCTCCAGCAAAGTGAAGCGGCGTTGGGTGGTGAGGTGAGGGTGTGGTCTCTGTGTTCCCTGAGTGGCCATCACTGTCTGCTCAGAAACGCTCTTCAGATACGATGGCTGGCACTTTGCTGGCATTGCTCTCCTCCTCCTCCTGGGGTTTCTACAAGGAAAAACAAGCAGGTACCCTTTAGGGTCAAAAGGCCCAGACTCCATCCTGGCCGAGTCACTGGCCCTCAGTGTCTCACAACAGTAAGCAATACAGGAGACAGCGGCCAATCAGCATTCTCAAGAAAGAATGAAGGACACACAAAGCAGCAACTGAACCCTTGAATAAGCACAGACAGCCCCCTACATCTACACATATAACACACGGTGTCATGAATGTAAAATGCCCGTTTTCTGTGATACCACTGTCCCCAAACCTTCCCAGTCAGATCCACTGTACCAGGTTTCCTCTCAGGATTGATACAACAAAGCCCACTCCCTCCCTAATCAGACAGCCTAGAACACGTCTGGACCAATCATCCAATAGCCGTCCAAAGCGCGTCATCTGCGACTGCTGAAGAATCATTTTACGTGGAGCAGCCCCCAGGATGAGTAATATGGTAATGTGCATAGATACAACAAAGGTGATTTTTTTAAAAAAGGATACCTAGTTACATATATCAACTTTTGTTCCTAGGAAGAAGACCCTTCATTCATAGGCTCAGCTGCACTTTGGATTTCTTGGGAAGGGGTGGTTCAGGGTTAGTTTACAGGGAACGTTCTGAGTCACACTTGTCAGGGGAGTGTGGAACCAAATATGGAAATTATCCTGGGGGCGCTAGGGACATACTGCCAACTTGGGCATTTGTCTGCTGTTGTGAAAAGCAGCCTCAGCTTCACTCTGGTGTCAGTCCAGCATGACTCTGAGAGAGCAGAGTAGACCCTCCCCTTGACACCAAGTTTCCACACACCCTTCCAAACAGCATGGCGAGCTCCAGGAGCACAGACAATGAAGCACCATTCCTGGAAGTCTTCCATTCCTATCTCAGTGCAATTTCCAAAATCCCACACCCAAGGAAATCGACCACACCTCCAACCTTGTCCAACCTGGTCCATGTGAACAAGGGTCTGGCTGCAAGGATAAGGATTTCATCCTTGGACTATATGTAGTAATGAAATATTTGAACAACCTAAAAATTGAACAAGAGGAGATGGAAATATCTATATGTGAACAAGAGACGAGTAAAATGTCATGTTGTAGAAAGTTTGTCAAGCCACATGAAGTTGCCAAGAAGGGTAGAAAACCAAATATGCAAAGGCATACCATATAGCAAAAAAAAAAAAAAAAAAAAACACGGGAAAACAGCAAAATGCTACTAGGTCGTCTCTAGGTGGTAGGATTACAAGTCATTTTTCTTTTCTTGTCTATATCTGCCAAAGTAAACAAATTACAAAGCAAAACCTCATGTCACCTGATGTAATACACATTACATTGAAAATTGAGACCTCACCAGAAATCTACCCTGTTTAACTACCAGCGCCTTCTCCCACTTAGACATGGCACAGGTGAAAGCCTACCTCCACAGTGTCCAGGTCAGGGACCTCACACATTCTAGAGAATTTCACACCTGCTGTACAGCCTTCCCAACCTCCCCAGTGAATTTCCTGACCTGGACTCCTTCCCACACAACTACCTGTAATACCAGAAAACAAAGAGTGAAGAACTGAAGATTATTGTCTCCCAGTCAACCCATGTCTTCCAGGTCCCATTTTTGCCTTAGAATATAGGCAAAAGTTTTTCAAACAATTGCTCTCAGTGTTGGCGCGTGTATACACTGATGGTAGCAGTCTAACTAGGTAGCATCTGCAGTAGTACCTTTCGAGAGGAGAGTTTCAGTAATACACATTAACACTCTCAAAAATGTGCATGACTGACTACTGATCATTTCTCAAGGAAATACCACGTGTAAACATGATTTCTTCTAAGAGATTGCTCACGATATTGTTTCTAACAATTGGAAACATTCTGAATGCCCATGAACAGTAAAATGATTGATCGAGTCACATTTATCCATCTAATGGAACACTACAATCATCAAGGTCAGCAGTTAAAACCCATCAGCCACTCTCGGGGAAAAAGATTTGCTCTCATAAAGATTTGTTGTGAAGCGCCATACGTCAAGTCAACTCCTACTCAGAATAACCCTGTATCAGGTTTCTGAGAAGCAGCTGGTGGGTTTGAACTGCCGACCTTGTGGTTGTGCTGATCCTACAGTGCCACACCAGGAGTCCCTGTAGAGATTTACAGCCTCGGAAACCCTATACAGGGTTGCTATGAGTCAGAATCCACTTCATGACAGTACGTTAGGGGTTTTTTGTGAGGTTTTTTTGGAGCAGTCATCAAAGTAGGTTGTCAAATACTAGTGACATGGTAAAATGTTCATAGTATTTTAAGATAATAACAGAGTAGGATTCAATTTTTGTTTAGCAAATTGTATGTATATATTTATATATGGCTGGAGAAAGATGAGACTTGCTGCCCCTGTAGAGATTGATTGCCTTGGAAACCCTATATGTGTCGCTGTGCATGGAAACCAACTTGACAACACAACAATACACATGTATATTGTTGTTGTTAAGTGCCATTAAGTAGGTTCCAAAGCATAACGACCTTGTATAGGGTTTCCAAGGAGTGGTGGGTTTGAACCTCCAACCTTTTAGTTAGCGTCCAGTACTTACTCTATAGTGCCAAGCATTCGACTACAAGGTGGGTTTGAATCACAAGGTCAAGGTCAGTGGTTCAAACTCACCAGCTGATCCTTGGAAACCCTACACAGGGTTGCTATGAGTCAGAACCACCTCAACGGCACTTAACAATAATATATGTATATATGTGCATACATGTATTTGGATATATATATGTATGGAGTCCTGGTGTGGCGCTATGGGCTAATGCGTCAGACTGCAAAGCCATTTGAACTGCAAAGTCGGTGGTTCAAGCTCACCAGCAGCTCCTTGGAAACTCTATACAGGATCGCTATGGGTTGGAGCCGACTCTACAGCAAACAACAACATATATTATGTAGATATGTTGTTACTCGTTGCCACTCCTGGCAACCCTTACAGACATGCATAATAAATGCAGAAAACAACCGCACCTTATCTTTAGATGATGGAATTAGAGGGTGATTTTTTTTTTTTTTAAATTTCTGTATACTTTTCTGTACTTTGTGGTTTTTCTACAAAGAACATGTAAAAGATTAATTTGGGGGTTTGTTTTAAGAAATCTTCTACTTTTACTCCTCCTCAGATTTCCTTTTATTCTCTTAGATTTGATACTTAACATTTTGGTCAAAATGGTTCCCAGATGATGAGAAGAGATGGAACGAGTTTTCTGTTATAGACCAAACTCCTGGTCCTGTCCCCTTCTGCCAGCGGGGTAGAGTGATCAAACCTCTACCTTTCCTCCCCAGTCATGGACCTCAGGGCTTGGCTCAGGACCCAAGGGGTGGGTGCTGCTCAGCAGACTGGGACAACAGTGGTACCCACAGGGGAGGCAGGAGGGGGTAGGCTCTGCTGCTCTTTCTCACCAGGTACGGAAGCCAGAGAAGAGCCCGAGAAGGGCAGCAATTCCAAGAGGAAACTTGTGAGAGTTGCTCTAATAGTCACCACAGAAAGCAATCCACTGTGGGATGCCCCCCTACTTCCTCCCATGTTGCCACATCCTCATGAAAAGTCTAAGCCCCAGATCTCAGTCCCTCATACCTCACATACTCACATTCTCAGGTGTTTCTTTGTTTGCTTTCTGCCTCCGGAGATCTGCCCTGATGAATGCTGAGGTTCAAAGATGAAAAAGAAAGAGCAACAAAGACAGAGGCATCAAGCAAATCAAGTTCATCCTAAAAAGGGAGCTCTCTTTTTCCTAAGGGCTACAGGTATCCCAAACCTGCTTAAGATACTCAAGGGACCTGGGGCACCATCAGCCAACCTGATCATTGCTAATCTTGGCAGGCAGAAAGCAAGAATGCCATTGGCTCTTGTTTAGGGATCATTTATACTTGCCAGGTGCTTTGCACATATTGCTCTAATCTTCACAATTTCCATTTCATAGATAAGGAAACGGACACTTCTCAGAGGTTGATCAGTTGACCTGCATCAAATGACTCTATAGGTCACATTACAGTCTGGAAATTAAACTTGGGCCTTTGGGCTCCAAAACCCATACTCATCCCAAGTCTATGCCTCCCTCCTAAATAGATTTCCTAACAAGTTCTCCCCTCTGTCCCCCCACATGTATCCCCCATCTGTACAACTGACCAGGACACTGGAGTCTCCAATTGCCAGCAGCCTGCCCATAAGAAGCCTAGGTTTCCTTGTTGCCATCAGAAGCCAACTCACCAGTAAGAGCTACTCCAAGCAGGAGGAACACGCATAGGAAGATGTTCCCTGGCATGGTTCCATAGTTGTCGATAATCTGGCCTTGGGAGATGGTGAATATGATCCCAAATATCTGAAAAGGCATGAGGAAGAAAGACTGGAAACAAGGGTCCATCCAAGTAGTTCATGAGGGTCACTGAACTGCTATAATACAAGGCTTGTGCCAGCCAAGCCAGGCCAAATGTGAAATAAGAGCCTACCTGGGGAGACCAAACAAGATGGTGGATTGGATGGAAGTGCAGTAAAGAGCTCCGCCAGCAACAAAACAGAATACCCGACCAAGCAGGCTCAGGGGATGGTCCCAGAACTCTGAACCACATATAAAGGAATATATAGAAGGTTGAAGGGCTTACAGCTGGGGAATTTGTGGCAGAAACAAGAAATCCATTGCTTTCTAGTCCGGGATGGTCAGGTACTCCAGGAGCCACCATCTTGGATGAGACCAAGTGGGGGAAGGATTGGAGCAGCCACAGACACCTGGCAGAACTGCAGAGATAAAGGTGTGGACATTCTTTTCTTTTGGTAGCTGTTCATTGGTCTCTTGCTGTCTGCACACCTCCATTCTGGTGACTATAGGGGTGCCTGAGCTAGTGGGCACCCCAGCCCTACCCTTGGAGGGTTCTACTACACATGCGCACAGATCTCTTCGAAATTTAAGGAGACAGTTTCCACTTAAAACCAAATGGCCACAACCTGCCCTGAACTGTTTACAACTAGAAAAAAGGCCTGAACGGGGACTGTAGAGAGGGACAAGCAGACAAAAAAGGAAATAAGCCAAAAATTAAACCCTAAGTTACGTCAAAACGACCAACAGTGGCATCTTGAAATTTCTCAAGAAG